ATAATTTTTTAAATTATGTATGAAATTTTGACGGAATTATACATTTGAACCCTTGAACCTATGTTGATCATTTTTGAAGTGAAGTCGCCTTTTTCGCATGCATTAAAATAAAATTAAAATCTTGAAAAGTATATTGGGGAAACTATTGGAGCTAGAATGCTCAAATTTTGCACGAACAATTTTGACATTCGGGTAAACAATTGTCTAATAAATTGGCGGGAGCGTGGTCCCTCCCATATGAATTAAATTCTAAATTTCGTATATCTGGGAAGCCATTATTGCTAGAATGCTCAAGATTTGCACGAGCAATACTGAAATCCATGTGAACAATTTGCGAAAAATAACCGGACTAGCAATAGGGGCATTATACCTCCCATATGAACTAAATTTTCATTAATTCCATAACAGGTTTCATTGAAATGTTGTCTTTTGTTCGATGAAATTAATATCAGAGCCACCGTTTGCCGACTAGAGAAATGGCATAGGGTTTTCCCGTAAAATGTAAATATGAAAAATCGTAAAGGATTTTTTATTTATATTGTTTTTTTGTTTTACCAGTGTCTAAATGTTGATTTTTCGAGTATCGAATGAATATTTTTATTTTCTTTGTATTCAAAGATTACTTAAATTAAATTTTGAAGTAAATAAAAATACTGCCCGTCTAAATTTTGAGTCCAGGAACTATAGTATATTTTTCTAACGCACCTATGGTTAAACTTTTCTGATTTTCCTAATTAATTAACAATTTTTATTTGTAAAATTTATTGGAATAACTGTTTGATAAAATTTTATCAATCTTAAGATTATATTCCAATTACAATAATTAATTTGCGGCTAAAATATTATGGAAGTGTTGGAATCCCTATGAAAATTGTCTAAATAGGGATTTTAGAATAAGCTAGAATAATATAGTTCCTTATGTTTAACAGAAGTTTTCCACTTTTTTCCAATTTTTTTTACATTAAAGAAATAATGTAATCAGACGACTAGATATAAAATTATACGGTTGTATTCATAAAAAGTTAATTTAGGTTTATTAAACATTATTAAGCAAAATCCACGAAAATGGCATTCATAAACGTCAAATAGCTTAAAATACCTTCAATAAACCAATGACAAATAGAAAAAAATTATTGTACGCTCGACCCTACTTTAAGCCAACAATAAGTTGAATTCTTACAAATTTTGTCTCTGATTAAGCTTTTTTCATTAATTTTAGGTTGAAGACGAAAACTAATCATGTTTTATTCCAGATAAATTTTAAAAGTTTCTATTTTGGTGGAAAAAACTAAAATCTAGGCATTATTGGATTAATAGATGAATATTTGACAATATTCCAGTTGGTCAATACTATTTTTGGCAATTTGGAAATGCCCGCCTGTCAATCAAATCATGGCCACAATCATTTTATTTGTCTTTTTCATAGTTTATTCGCTAAATATAAAGCCATGAAGTAATTAAGAGTGTAAATTATATTGATTAGTGTTATATCAATGCAAAATATCTTCTCCGGCAATAAAATGTAGTCTTTTATTAAAGAAATTTATCAGTATTTGCAAAAATTTATTAAAAATTGCTATAAAAATAAGTAAAAATAACAAAATGTGCATAGTGATGTTTATTTTGTCACAAAATATTCGTTATTAGAATACTTTTAATTATAATTAAAAATATATATGTTATATTAATTCATCTGAACTAAATATATATTTACTGTAGCCATGTATACATTTATTTTTCTTTAAAGTTCGTTCTTATTTTCAAAAATGTGTTATAACCAAAAATATAAAATTAAGAAAACCGACTCAACGAATATTTTATCCTAATTGTACGCAACACTAACACAGAAAATGACAGCCAAATTGTACAGTGCTGCCAAGTTAAACAATAAACAGCACAATAGTTAATGTGGGTTTATTATTTGTTTATGAATACCACAATTTTATTAATGGCTTTTAAGTCTAAAGTGTACTTTAACTATTGTGTGATTTAAATCTAAAATAAGCATTTTTTATGAATACAACTGATAATCTTTTAAACTGTTAATAATCAGTTCGGGCCATGTTTTATTAATCAAATTTAAACATAAACGTCAATTTTTTCAAATTAAAATTGACTTTGTTATTTATAATGAAAGCCCGGTTAACAGGTTTTTTCTGGATTCGAAAAATGTTTAAAATTTTTTTCAAATGTCAACTATTCGAAACCCGGTTTTTGGAAAATGTCGAATAATCCATCACCCTAGTAGCGAGCACACTGGGTAAAGCTAGTTGTGTTACAAAAACGACTTTTTCTTACACGTATTATATATTCCAACATCAATAAACATGTTTAAATATACATACGTACATAAATGTACCGCCAGATATTGTCTGTTATGTTGCTTTTTAGGACTTTTTGACATGTGGAAATTCCTATTTGCTGTTACGCTCTATTGAATTTCATGTTACTAAAGTCGGTGTTTTTCACTATAAAGTTTTAAAAATTCGATTTTTAATTTTTTGGCTTTTAGGCCCTTTTGCATTTCAGGTGACAAAGTATTAGTTTTCCTTAGGGCGGAAGATACAGTTTTTATCTGCAAAATCTGTTTCTTTATGTTTTTTTACTCAACTTTAGAATATATGAGAATAGAATTGGGAGGCTTGAAGGCTTAGTACTTATTCATTTTACTTCTTATAAATGGACTTCTTTTTTAGTGCCTTTTTGGCAAAAAGACGTAACATACAAAAACAAATTTTCCTCGAAGTAGGAAAAGAGCATTACTTTAAAACTCCGAATATCAGAATTATCAAGTATTTCTTGTTAAAAATCCTATAAATATTTATTCTAATTCCATCAAATTTACAGAATAAGTGGAATACATTTCAATTCTATGAAATAATTTCTTAGATTGCAAAAAATATTATTTTAACATTAATTTCAACATGAACAACAAAGAGGGAGTATATCCATAATTATAGGAATATATTTATACATATGTATATTAACAAGGCAATTTTTGAGTTTTTTAATAGTTTTAAGTTAAGAAGTTTTTCAATTTTTTTTTATACATTTTCAAGGATATATTTATATCAGAAATAAGAAAAAATAATATAAATTAGCCATACGATCCATATAATGTGTTTCCGCTTTTCAATGACCTATTTGCACCTATCCCTTGAATCCTACAAAAAGATAACGCCCCGATCCATACTGTCTGGATCGTAGCTGAAATGTTGAATTGTTGAGCTGGCCTCCATATTCACTAGACTATTGCATTATAGAAAACTTGTGGGTATGGCTTGACCGAAAAGTTTATGAGTCTGGAAAATAGTATTCAACAATTCCTGAACTAATCTACTACTAATAAGAGTTGTCAACAAAAATGCTGAGAGCAAGCTTCCCAATATTTGTATTCCTACGTCAGTATTTGGTTAGTTGTATCAGGATAAAAATGTTAAAAATGTTTAGTTGTGAACATAAGTAACATTAATTTTGGGGACCACCTAATGAAACATTTCTAAATAAGGGATAAAGGTTGTGGAATTGATTCTTGCTCTGTTCGAATTGTTTACTTGATGTTTGTTCTATATATTTTAATTTTTGTAATTAAGTGCATATTCACTTTAATAATCAAATGAAGTGCATACTACCACTAATGAGTATTTTTAAACAAATTGGAAGGTAACCAAACTGGTTAAAACTTTTGGCTTAAAAACAAAATTAATAATAAGTACAAAATACAAGCAAAACCAGACTTTTAAAATCATTTATAACAGTGGTTCCCACAGTTTATTGCTTTGTGCATCTCAATCTTCCAAAATAATTCAATTTATTTAAATTCTCAGAAAGGCCAAACATATACCAGACCAGATTAATTGTTTACTACTTTATTTTTTTTTTTTGCTCCTTTGAATTTTAGTTTAAGTGCTCTTAAATAGAGATCTGATTTTAAAATATTTCTGGCACATCGAATTTTACGCGTTATCCATTTCAAATAATCTGAACTTGATCCGCGATGTTAGTCCTTCAACGAAAATATATATTTTTTTTATTTTTATAGGATTTCTTGCAATCAAAGCGTTTTATATACAAATTTAGGAATTTTTTTAATCTTATTTTTTTTTCAAAATTTTCAACTTTGAGTTAAAAATGTGAATATTTCAGAAACTCGACGTGATAAAAATAGTTCTGCATATTAATATCTTAAATTTTATTATGGATTTCATTGCAGACGAGTGTTATTAAAAAATTTTAACTTTTACTGTCGACTTGGTGGCGACAATGCCTAAATAATTGGGTGATTATAAAAGAAATTGCTAATTTGCCATATGATGTTTCTCAAAATATTTTAAATTAACGTTAACTAGCGGAGGGTCATGAACATTATTTATTTCTATGATTTATTTCCATTAATTTTAATGTTTATAAATTAAATTATTTTATATGAAGCAAGCCTTTTATCTAAATTTTAATAAATTTACAAAAAGACAAAGGTTTTAAGTTTTACATGCTATTGTATTTGTTAAATTATTCAAAACTAGCGGTTCCCGGTCCGCGTTGCAAGCCCTTGATTAGCCATGTGGACTTTACACTTAAAAAGCTATATACCCATCAAATTTTAAAATAATCGGTTTAGCGGCTTAGGTCTAAAAATTAAAACTTCGGTGCCATCTGTCTGTCTCACGATCCCTGGAACATATATTAGAAATTTTGACCTACCAGATGCCTTAGTTCCTGTTTATCGATTACGAACAAACAATAAAACAAAAATTTTAGTTTTATTAAATAAATATGTTTTCAAATATTTTCATTATATCAAAGGTTTTTGCTTATTGGGTAGAGACTTTTTGGAAAGAGACTACTGCGTGAAAGCACTATTTTTTGTTCGTGTTTCTTTCTTTCTTTTTTTGTAGTTAGTGTCAGAGTTTTAGAGGGAGTGTAACATTTTAACCTTATACATATAATCGAGTAATAATTTTTGTTACTACATACTTATATATTCTACATTCTATTTCTAGACTAATGCATATCGCATTACCCTTGCTTACTTATGTTATAGTCCATTGTACTAGGTAGTTCATAAGAAGAAATGAACCCAAAAAATGGGTTGTTTTGGCAGTTAACACTAATATTAGTGGCAACATGCGTGCGCTTGAGTAGTAGTCGGGAATCTCAACTTAGAGTTGGAAAAGCTTTAAATGTATTTGTCAGATTTGGTTATTTGGGAATATCGATGCGAGTTATTCCAACCAATGATACCAATGAAGATGTCAGATGGCTGTTTAAAGAACCTACCCGAAATATATACAAAGTGCGTACAATTTTTAAATGAAAGAATATTATATAGAGAGCATGACAATATTTTCGTTTTTAATTTACAGGATTTAAGTCATTTAGATGAAAGTCAGGAACAGAATACACCAGGTATTTTTCATGGCGATTTTCATATGGAATTTTGCGACAATCGTCGACAACTGTACCAGGCTTATTTTCGTGACTTCACTATAGAGCGGTTAGACCGGCCTTGGGAAGCATTTACTGGTGGATGGTTTCCTGATAATGCTGCTAAAAAACTCGGTATAAATACTTCCTTTATACAAGGCGATTACTCGTATGTTCTTGTACGTGTTGTGCGATTTCGAGAAACAGGCAAATTTAAGTCAGAATTACCCAATAATTTGACACTTGAAAATGATGTGCGGGAAAGGATGAACGAAATTGTTACAGGAAACGTTACAACAGCTGTAAAATTTTTTGAAAATGTGGGAACACATTATATTAACTCGTATACAACTGGAAACTCCTTATATCAGGTAAAAACAATTAATAAAATAAATTTCAGTAGAATTATGTACATTAGAAGTGTCCAAAAAGTATTTAGCTTGAATGGGTCTCATTTTGTTCATTTGTGTCTAAAATTTAAGACCAATGGAAAAAGGGGAACCCGTGCCGGAAATCGATTGAAAAGTGTAATTTTGCACATACATTTATACATACATACATACATACATACATACATACATACATACATACATACATACATACATACATACATACATACATACATACATACATACATACATACATACATACATACATACATACATACATACATACATACATACATACATACATACATACATACATACATACATACATACATACATACATACATACATACATACATACATACATACTATGAGAGAAGTCGTTAGTTTTTCATTTTGTTTCTGTGTTTATTAGAAATTTGTTTATGTTTTTATTTTTTTTCCGTGTCAAGTGACACAACTTTTAAAATCGATATCCGATAGTACTAACCTTTGTGCAAGGATAATAGGCAAGACACCAATTAAAAAAACAACAAAAAAATTCATTCATGTACAAATTCATACATTTTATGAACTTTTAATATTCTGAATGAAAACGTACTTTTTAATTGCAATTGAAGAATTTCCAGTTACAATTACTTGTAATTGAATATTTTGTTCCTTATAATTACATGTAATTTTGTAATTAGTAATACCTAAATTACAATAACAAGTAATTTTACTTGGAGACTTCAATTGCAATTACACATTACAAGTAATTGTAGTTGGTTATTTCTCAATTACACATTACAACTAATTGTAATTGACCATGTAGCGATTGAAAATCCTGACCTCAGTATAATTTTTGAAAAATAAATATTTTCGATTTTTTCGAAATGGGTCTCAAAAATTCCGTAATTTTAAGCTGATTACGAAATAAAATTTTTTTGGTCCACAAAATGATTTTTAGTGGGTTGGAGAGGCATATTGTTTTCACTTTTTATCGAAATTGTTGTCAAAATTTCGTAATTTTAAGCTTATGCAGAAAAATGTTTAAAAAATAGTTTGGCATTTGGTTTAATCCGTTTCAGAAAATTTTTTTTGAAATTTATATGCATCTTATAATACAATTAAAGTCGTTTTGCGGACCCGAAATACTCTAACTAAAACTTTAATTATTTTCCCGCGATAAGCACAAAATTACGGAATTTTTGACACCCAATTCGAAAAGATTGCAGAATTTTTTTAACATATTGTACTGAGATCAATATTTTCAATCGCAGGTAGGGAACTGAGGACGTTTTTCAAAAAATTGTTTTTTATTTTTCTCGTATTTAGTACATTGAAACGCATCGTTTTAGAGGTATTCCCCTAAAAAGTGGTCCACGGGACACCCTAATGTACAGCCAGATAGTCAGCCAACCGATCCCACAAAAATTCAATCAATCGTTTTATAAAATTTAAATTGGACATTATTAACATCAGCACACATACGAAATAGCACTAAACGGTTTCGTTATAGCAATCAAATTTGTTTTGTTATAATTAATTTGCAACATCCCTGGTTCTTACTGCAAGTCTTCACACCATATTTTGCATTTTTATTTCCTGTTTAAATGTTCAAAGTAATAAGCAGGCCAACCAAAAATATGCAATATCATATTTTTTGCTGTTCGTCGTATGGACACAATTTAACGAATTTTGACATTGATTTGTTAGAGCATATTTTGCATTTAACAGCATATTTCACGTGGCGAGGAGTTACGCCCATATTAAGAAAATATTAAATCAGTATATCTAAGATAATTTATCTTAGAAGAACTTTAATATTCATCTGAACATTTTAAAGAAAACAGGGCGGACTTTCATCTGGGGGGTTTTGGAGCCCCCATATGAATTAAATAGAAAAAATCGTATATCTGAGAAACTATTAGTTCTAGAATCTTCAAATTTTAAATGAAGAAGTTTGACATTCATGTGAACATTCAAGAGAACAAAGGGCGGACTTTCAATCGGAGGTTTGGCATCTCCCATATGAATTAAATACAAAATTTCGTATATCTGGGAAACTCTTAGATTATTCAAATTTTTTATAGATTAATTAACGTTCGTAAAATTCGCATGCCATCTCCCATATTGTATATCTGGAAAAAAGTTATAGTTAGAATCTTTAAAATCGTTAAGTGTTTTTTTTTTCATATTGCTTGTATGGTTGCAAAGCACACTGGGTATAGCTTCTATTTTATAACAGCAAGAAGACACCTTCATTTATAAAATCGATTGTGTGGTCCGAAAGTCCAATCTGTCGACTTTAAAATAAAGGTTTAAGAAATTGAGTTTGTCATAGAATAAAGGCAAAATGGAGGTTTTGTAATTTTATAATTGTTCCAAGCTTTCAAAAACATAATATTTAAAAAAAATTACTGAACAAAATAAAATTATTAATAAAAGTTGGTTGGTCACATAATTAAAACATTTAATATTTTATTGATAAAGTCATAATTTCGAGAAATGAAGAATAAAATTTTTATTTTAAGGTTCTTTTTTTTTGGTAATTTTCGAAATATTTTGCATTTTGATCATCCGCAAACTTTTGAAATTCTTAATTTAGACGAAATCAATTAAATTATTTTTAAAGAGAATGTGGTTTAGAATTATTTATTTTTGGAAATAAATCGGTATCTCTGGAGATATTGTACCGAATAGTTACGTTTTTATAGTTGGAGTTTTTTTAGAGCATTTTTTTTTTTGCATTTTGGGTCATAAATGAATTTTTAGCGAATTTTTTTAAAAAATGTCATACCCGAGGCAAGAAATTTCGCTCACGATCACCTAAAACCGTCAATCAACTCGAAAACACCTCAGCTCCAACCATGTCAAAATTCGTTACGATACCACCAGTAGGGTGCTAAAACTCAAAAAATTAGTATAATTTTAGTAATACTAAGCAATTTCAATTCCACAATTAAGAAATTAATTTTGAGGTATATTTTTAGTTATATGTAACTTTTTTGTAATGAGGTCAATTTTAATATTTATTTGTGTTGCAAAAAACTATTCAAATTGTCAATAAAATATAAAATGTTTTAATTATATAGCCAACCGATTTTCATTTTCTTCAGAATTTTTTTCTTACAGATTTGTAATGTTTATTATAACATACAGATTGAAGAAAAATAAAAATGTTTTTGTTTCCTTTTGAAAATTCGACAAAAAGTTTAAAATTGCATCGATAATGTAAATGTTTTAATTATATGACCTCCACAGTATTTAGGAGAGTCAAAAAGTGGATTCTAAAAGTGATGTATCCTTTAGATGTGTGAACGAGTATGAGGTGTTGGTGGCTTTAAATGAGGTGCGTTCGGATTCCATTGGGACCGATGGTTTTTCTAAGCAATTTATTAAAACAATATATCCTTACGCGTCCGAGTTATTTCTACATTTGAAGAGCTTATTTTATTTTTATTTTGTGTAAATCGACATTAAAGTTTAAAAAAAAAAAAAATCTAAAAAAATAGGATTTTTTAATTTGTACTTTAAAAACGCTTAAGTAATAATAAGGCCGATAACTGTCTGATGCCAATAGATGGACTTCATAAATAAATTGGAAACCACTTTATTAAATGACATTGGTATTGCTATTAATATTATTATATAAAATAGTAAAAATAAAAATTGCAACATTTCTCAATTTAAACGAACAAACTACAACTACGCTAAACAAATAAATTTTATTTAATTCTATTTTTACTACATTTAAGTTTTCCTTAGGTTAGAAGACAGCTTGTGTTTTTCGATATCTTAGTCTAAAGTCTGAGTATATTAGGCCAATTTCTGTTCTTCCTGCTCTGTGGTAGGTAATGGAATATACATATTTAAATTCTATTAATTACAACAGGATGATTGACAAGTATTAGCCAATCTTTAAGGTAGATCGAAGTTTATTAGCCTTAACGGAGTGGTGTCTGGTATATTGCAACGCCATACAGGTGTTCCTCGGGGTTCTGTGTTAGGACCTGTATTGTTTAATATATACGTCAATGATCTACCGAGTCTAATAGTTCAAAACGTTTATAAGCATATGCAGATGATGTGGCCTTACTTTTTAGTTGCAATCGAAATATTGCAGATGTTCTGCATAGCAACATTGACTATTCCCTTCGACTTAATAGTAATTTCCGTACTATTAATGCTTTTTGATAGATTTAATGTTAATTTGGACATTTTTATAAGTTTACTTTTAGTAGATCGACTAGAAGTCCCCAAATTTTGGTACCTTAAATTAATAATTCCTTCTATGAAAGATCATTTTTAATTCGTATTTATACTTACCCATGGAGTTACTTATTTTCTTACATTTAAATAATGTCTTTCTCATCAAACTTTTGGATTTGGTTTAAGTACGTAATTTAATTTTGTTCTCCTTTCCTATTTGCAAAGTAGCTTGATTGTTACAGATACCTGATTATCTTATAAGTAAGAACATTGCTATTTTTATAACCTACACCACTATAGTGGAAAGGCTATTATGCGTTTCTGCTTATGTTTGTAGCCTACCTTAAAGTATAGCGATCGACCCAGAATCACCTTCTGAGTTGATTAAGACATGTTTGACCGGTACAGGGACGAAGCCTATTGCTAAAATCCACTATTTCACCTAGCCCCTATACAACCGGACCTTCCGATTTGGGCTTATAACCATTAGTATTACGAAAAAATATATCTCCTCCAAACTTTATGAGGGTCACCACATGTTTGACCCTAACTTCCATATAAATTCTGTTTTAGAAAATTTGTTTTTCATTAAGAAATTGCTTAAATACATCAGAATTAATGTAAAATTCTACATAAACGTTTCTCTATGAAAAATATATAATTTTCAAAGTGCTCGAAGGTATGCTCGACTTTCCTACTTGTTATTATATATAAAAAACATAAAGTTTATTTTTGCTTAGGTTTTTATACCCTACGCCATTATAGTGGGGGAACAGTAATTTAACTTGTATGTCCGTCCGCCCATCTCTTTGGTATGTAATCCTCTTTTGGTCCAAGAACGAAAGGTATTGAAAATGTTTGAAATCAGTTAATTATTTCACCTTGCCCCCATACAACCGGACCCCTAGAATAGGGATTTTGAGATCATAGTTATGTTAAAGTTCTTATATCTCTACAAAAATAGCAAATACATAGTTGTATATAGGTATACTGCCGATTTTCGTAAAGATGGGGCCAAATTTAACGCTAAGCCCCATACAAAGTCCTCTTCCTAAAATGACTTGATCTTCAAGAATTCACCTATAAATACTAATATAACTATAAAATTCTGCATAAATAACTTTAATGAAAGCGTAAATTCCTCTACCAAATTTATAAGGTCATGTTTACCCTTGCCCAAGTATAATCACTTTTTCTTGGTCGACAAATCCTAATAAATCCTATAAATCTCTTTTTAAGTATGTTTGTTTATTTGTATATTTTCATTTGCAGGTCTTCGTTTACAATCGCAAAAACTATCAAATGATTAAGGAACGGATAAAAACAAAAGGCATCAATGCTCTATCTAAACAAGATCTCTATCATTTATTTGCACCCTGGGTTGCAGAACATTTGGGCCAAATACGATCAGCAAGCGCCAATAATACTGTTGAGAGGTGGGCTCGGCGCAAACTTCAATATGAATATTTACTGGTCAAATATGTTACACTACTTAAACTACACGGCAACGGCACTTTGCTTCGAACACTAGACAATCTCTTAGGGAACGATGCCATATTGCAGCTGGATTTAAAATCACTCAACGTTATATTTCGGAGCGAACCAGAAAAACAAAATTGGTTTCATGAAGTTTTAGACAATCATATGAAGCTATGGGAAGCCAATATGCCACAAAATTAAATTCATTACTTCAAAAAACCAATATTCAACCTGTAAAGTTCCTAAAACATTAAATAGGAAACGAAAACATACTGCTACTGCCTTTAGAAACTTTAGTTAATCCTTCATCAATGTAGTTTTTTCGGCTGGTTCACACGTTTTAATTTAAGTTTATTCATAAGATCATTATCATATTGATGCCTGTGATACTTTTTAGTACATAATTTTTATTATATTGTTAAATAAATATACGATGACACCAAACTCAACCCCACAATTTATCGTTAAACAATTGTACGAATAAAACTGTAATAATAACATTAATAAGAATTTATTATTATAATGGAGTATATTACAGTGATGGAATTTTTTTTGTATTTAATTTTAAATATTTTGAGCATATTACACATATTAGACTAAAATTGCAGCTACAAAACTAAAGCACGTAACTTTGGATATATTCAATTATAGGAAATCTTAAGAAACTATTAACAATTCAATAAGAAAAAGTTGTATGTGCCAAATTTCATCAAATTATCTTAAAAATTGCGACCTGTAGAGTGCCCACAAGGTTTACATGGATACACATGACATAGCTAAATCGAATCAGAAAGTCATATTTTTAGGTATTATAAACATCAGCACAAACCCATAATACCCTCTCCACTTTAGTGGTGTAGGGTATAAATACATAGCTAAATTATTAATATCATAAATTTAAATTTAATAAATTTTAATTGAAATTAATCATCATCATTTTTCTGCACCCTGCTAATATTTATTTAAGAAAAATTCAAAAATAAAAATTCACCTCAACTCACCATAGCAAATTCTGTCATCGAGCGCTTGAAGGCGTTTGCCAAAGAATAAATAAGAAATGAAACTGCTGTCAAAAGTACCTAAGTCTACTGTCATCCGGTACCTAACTCTAAGAATGTATTAGTAGAATTCTCAAGTCAACATAGTTGCAAAAAATCGTATTGAAAAATATTGAAAAAAAATATTTCATTTCAATTTATACTTTGAAAGGTTTCTTGAGATATTTTCCACATATTTTATCTACAAACATTTTATAAACACGTCTATTTGTTTTTTAATCTATAATATTGGAAAAATAAATTATTTATTTGAAATATATTTTTCGTTTACCATACGAAAATTTACAACATTGTTTTTTTTAGTTTTAATTTCAACCAACAATAATTCAATGTCAAAAAATAAAAAATATTTTTTTTTTTCGTTTGTAGAAAATTTATTATTTTCGGGCTATTAAATGTGTTTAAATTGTGCAAAAAAAATATAAAATATAATGTTAAGTGATAAAAAATATTTCAAAGTGCTATTATCCTCAAATTTTCGCGAAAAAGTTTTGAAGTTTGGAGAGAGAATAACATTTTTACATATGTGTTGGATTTACACAGCACTCGTCTGTGAGAAGAGCGTAATGTTATTGTTGTAAAAAAATGACAGCGTTTCACTTCTTGTTTATTCTTTGGCGTTTGCAGTAAAAAGTGAGTAAAGGTAGAATTACCCAAGCGCAACGTACTGTAACTGTAAGAAAACGTGTCAGCTGATCGTTTTTGATTAAGGAAAGACAATGAAAATGCTTACCGAAATGTAGCCGTAACGTTTCAACCTGTATAAAATAGAATTTTATAACGTTTTTACGTGACATTTGTAGAACAGTGATGGCACTTTTGTATGTAGAATAGAACTGTGGTACAAATTCCCTTTTTTCATACTTTTTTTATTTGTATGCACAAATTTGAATTTTTATATTATTATGCTTAAATTTAATAAATTGTTTACCTTTTAAATTTTTAGGATGCATATGTGATGATAGCAATGTGTATACATAAAATTTTATAGAAAACACGTTAATAACGTATCAAACCAGGCGTTATCTCAGTTATCTAAAAATATATCGATATAACGTTACTTCATATTACATAAAATTTTGTAGATAACAATTTGGGCTTTCTAATGGTATAAATTTGAGAGCTCCATCTCATTAAATACAGACGTTAGTTTAAAAATGTATATTTTTAAAATCATTGATTTGTATTTAATGCAATTTATATAGCTCGATACTTTCAATTTTGCAAGAGCAAGTAAAGGTAGCTTTAAATTTTTCAATACTTTCTAAAAAAAGTTGAAAATAATTTTAAAAACAACAGGAAAAAAAGCTTGATGAGTTAAACGCTATTACTTATACATATATATTTTTTAATTTTGGTACTTTTTCTACTTAGCCATTTTAAAGATAGAGCCTCTCAATAACCATCACTGTTTCGAACAGCTAATTGAATATTTATGTAATTTATTTTTGCTTTTTATAATTTTTGATTTTTTAAATACCTACATAAAATAGTCTTAAAGAAATAACAAAAAAGGCAAGTTATTGCTAATTAATTTACCTTTATATTAAAAAAACGCCTAAAAGCTTAAATTATTTTGTGTTTATTTCCAAGACAAGCGTTACGTTTTTAAATGTTCTATAAGTGCACAAACGTGGTAACGGTACGGTACGTTACAGTACGTGGACAGCAACGTTCGGGTAATTCTACCTTAAACAAAAATAAAAACAATTACAGGGTGCACTTATAAGGTGAAGTCAATTCAACAGCTGATCACTCATTTTTTATTTGAGGTAGATACAACTGTCAAAGTACACCATTTAGAGTTGCCACAATCCGAAAAAATATGTACATCTATCTAGGGATTCATTATATTTTTAGGACAAAAAATTAATAAATAAATTTTATATTCATTTTAATCCGTAGTAAATTTATGCGAAATACTCAAAATTTGCACAAACTATTTGTCTTAAATATGCATATATTTTATCAATTATAGGGAACATTTTACTAATCAATTGAGAGTACAAACATCCCACAATTGTAAATAAAATTATTAAAACTCGATTTTATCATAGATATCTTAATTTTTAACAACCATGGTAGTGGTTTGGTCACATTTCTATAAAGATCATTATATATTTCTTATACGACAATAGTAGAGACCTACACGGTATTATAAGTTCCCAATATTGACTGATAAAAAATAATATGTATATAGTTTGTATTTTTGCTACTACTTACAATTTTGTAATCTAATACTAATTTTTTGTTATTTTAATTGATAATTTATTTACTTTTTTTAATAAGTAAATAATAAATAATATTCTAACCCCCTTATTCACAAACAACATTTTTATTTTATAAAAGGTTTATAAAACAAAATTTCCACAAAATTTTACCGTTTATAAAATAAAAATTTTGTTTGTGAATAATTTTTCAATTCATGTATAACTTTTAATAAATTTTATCTTATAATACATATTTACTTTTCGTGAAGATATTTTTGGGCATGTGGGATTGTCGTTTTGTAAGGTAAATTAAAAAAAAACACGGTGGCAACATGTAAATTTTTTGTATCTACTTCTGTTGTTTTTGTAGAATTGACTTCACCTTAAAAGTGCACCCTGGTTCTTGGTTTCGTTTTCTTACTATGCACGTAATAAAAACTGGATAGTAGCGTAATTTGACTGGACCCATTCCAATCCAACGTGCGCTGTTACAAAAAATACACAGTTTTTCCACAGTTTTTTGCTTTTCGGAAGTAGTAAGTTGACAATAATTGTGGCAACTTTACCCTATTAGTACGCGAAAATACAACGCTTTTTCCTTGTGACAGCTTTCAATAGGAAAATACAATAATGCTAAACAATAGTTTTGACATTTGTTTAAAAACTTAACGTTTGATATTATTGTTCTGGCACGACAAACTAGTTGATAATAAAAGACTTTTTTTTATAAAATTGTAAAATTATTGTTTTAATTATAGAAAAAACTATATAGTTATGTATGGTGGCGACATCTATTGAAAACAAATGTAATATAAATATTCGTTTGGTTTGTGAATTTGATAATATTGCTTACCTTGCCAGATGCATAATTTTAAATCTTTAAAATTTGTTAATTTATTTTCCATATTTATTTACTTTATAGCTCTCATAGAGACGTTGGCATCGAATGTTTTATGACATTTAACAATTATGTACATTAATAAATTTTAAACAAATTATGGGATTTGACTAATGGACACTGATTTAAATTGAAGAGTTTAATACACATGGTTAGTAGGGTTACTTAAAAGGGCCCTTCATACGATAACACTTTACATATGACTTTATGTATGGAAATTAAAATGAAATTCCATCCGAATTTTGAAAAAAAGTATAAAAGTTAGACGATTATATTTGACAGATCATATTACCATATTATTTATTATTTTTTTAAATTTATATTTATTGTACTTTTTCTGTTTTCACTTTAATAATAACGAAATTAGTTTTATTAAATTATTAAATTATTCCAATAAAAACTTTTACTATTTTACGTACTTGTAGCAAAAATTTGATAAGTAGCAATAGAAATCGTTGCTACTAGTTGATGATACCAGTTAAAAACAAAGTAACAAATAAACATATATTAACGGGAAAATGATGCAGTATAGAGGCCTTACTAAAGGCATTATTTTTTAGACACAAGTTCATCACACCGTATTTCAAAATCGTTTCAAATTTACATGTTAATAGAATGCTTCTTTAAAAAGGCCGGTAGATGGTCTTCCTAGGCCTTTAGAAGTTCCTTTGTTGAAGTCTTTTAAAAAGGTCTTGTAGACTGTCCTGTCCTCCAGAAGGCTTTGTAGATTGTCCTCACAGGAAATTATTCATTAGAACTTATAAAAGTTTTATAAAACAGATTTTCATACAAAATTTAATACACAAAGCTTTAATAGCATTGCTACTTCATTTAGGTAGCAGTCGCTACAAAATTTTTGGTAGTTGAAAAATATAATTTTATTTATTGCTACTTTGGGATAATATTTACTGCTTCAAGTTGAAGCATTCAATAGCTACATTGAAACATTTAAATATCAATGACTGTACTACTGCTATTAATTATTTTTTTGTCTACTACTACTATAACTTTTGCTGCCAAAAGTAGTGATTGTTCATTAATACAGCTATTTGTAGTCTAGTTATGTATATTAAAACTGATTTTCGCATTTCCATAATTTTATATGTTTCGAACTACATATTATATTGGAATTTATATATTTGGCAAATTTTCATAAATTTCCAATAACATTTAAATATAAATTGAATTAAATATTATATGAAATATTTATCATCATTCGAATACCATTTTAGAGATTATTGGCAAAAAATATGTACATATGTACATATATCCTAAACTTCGAACTATTTTGACCAACATTTTTTGCTATTTATTCGACTGTAAATTTCTGAACAAAATTTTCTCAAACCAAAAACCCTTTTAAATGTTTTGAATTATAATTAAATTTAAAAAATCACTCACCTTATTTAACACTTGTTTCCTTTCCGCCCACAATTTTATTTCCCCTCATTCACAAATTTTTAATTAGCCTTTTATTTATCATTATTTTTCTGTTTTATTTCAAAGATTTTTTATTTACTTTCACGACTTTTTTACTTTCTTAGCTTTTTTCTTACAAAGATCTACACTTGATTTCCTTCTCATTTCCTTTACTATAATTGAAAGCTTTTACATACTTATATAAAATTATTTTACTTCTTAATTTTTCTTTACAAAACTTATAAAAGATTTTCATTTCTCATTAAAACCTTTTTTTCCACTTTCCAACCAACCAACTAACCAATGAGCTTAACACACTCCACTACCCGCACACCAACTCACACTTATTAACAACGAATGGCCAAACTAAAGCAACCACCGGCTCAGCATTTTATCTTTTTCCAAACAGTTTTACTATTCTTACAAATTTACAAGTTACTTTTTAACTACATTTTTACACACAACGTTAACAAACATTTAGATTTCATATTTATTCAAAATATATTAACAATTTATTAACTTTTAACCGGATTTATTAATTAATTAAACGACCACTAATCACCAAACAAACGAACACTTGCGAAATTTCTAGAAAACTGAAAGAAAAAATGCAAAAGTGATTCTATTGCTATTGTTTTTGTTGCAGCTGCTGTCATTATAATATTTGTACTAAATTGTATGCAAATATGTAATGTGTTTGTTGTTATTTTATTTTGTTGTAGAGAGGGGGATAATAATAAAAAGTGCGTAAATAGATTAAGAGCAAGATGTTAAGGACATTCGTAATTCAGCTCTGGGTGGAGGAAGACCGTCGTGCGTCGTTGCCATTATCGCTTAAGGGTAATGAGGCCGTCCTTTTTGCTCTGCCTTCGAGAGTTTTACGTTTCAAACCGCATTGGCCAATGTGTGACGTCAGATAACTGTACCGAGTTACAGTTTTTCTTGAGGTGCATATTGACCATGTGCAATCGTGTTAACTTAACCTAAGTTTTTAATTTTAATTGGAACATATGATCTAGTTTTTTCTAGCTAGAATTGGTGATGGCGTTGTATAATTTTTAATTACTGGCCAAATAAATCTTAGTTTTGGAAACTAAGTAACTTAAAAAACAAACAAACAAACAAGATGTTAACTGCCGGTCCACACTAGGAAACTTTTTTTGGAAACTTTTGATTTTGCGTGAGAGAGAAAGAGAAAGAATATCATTCATCTCTCTCGTGGTACGGAGTTTCTCGTACTCGGAAACTTGTTTTGTTTTGTTATTCTTCTCATTCGTACAACAACAAATCAATGCAATTAATCCCTTCAAACATTTAGAAGACAAAACTATTGCGCATCACCCCAGACGCCACGTCAGAATCACTTCTGGACGATTGTCAGACGAGAACGCACATTTTACAAAAACAAAATACATTGATTTCGAATTTTCGTCTTCTAGAAATATACTTTTATGTTACTTCCGGATGATAGTTAGAAGAGTGCATCCATTTAGCTTAAACAAAAGACCATGACTGTTGAATTTTTTTCATCTGGAAGTATACCTTTTAGAGACTTCTGAATGAGAGTTGGGTGAGAACACACATTTTACAATAACAAAATACATTGTTTCCTAATTTGTATCTTCTTGATTTGTATATTTATGTCACTTTTGGAAGACAGTTTGAAGAGTGTTCACATTAAAGTTGTATTTTATTCATCTGGAAGTGTGGATTGTAGTCACTTCTGGACGATTGTCAGACGAGAGCACACATTTTACAAAAACAAAATACATTGATTTATAGTTTTCGCCGTCTGGAAGTATGGTTTTAGGATACTTCCGGATGATAGTAAGAAGAGTACAAAAACAAAAAAAATATAAATACTCCGTTTTTTAGCGTGAACGCGAAAAAATTAAAATAAATAATGCAGAAATTTTGCTAAGTTCAGTGATGTTTTGTCCCGTCATGTTCAGTTTTAATTACTAATTGTAAAACTTAAATTAGTTATTGAATTTAATATTTATAGAAAAATAGTGTAAATAATATATTGTGAATATTAAGCAATAAAATACAATATGACAGTGTTGGGTTAAAAGTCAACTGTTTATAAACATTTAAGAAGGTTTTGTTAATTGGTGAAGTTTATTAAATATGTACCAAAAAGTAATTATCTTCAAGGATTATGTAAATAAAATTAAAAAGTAAGTTGTCATATTTTACATTAAAATACTATTTTAGTAATAAGTTAACAACTCTAAACGGCTTCCATTTCCATTATTTATAAACGAAGTCTTATATGTTTAATTAAAAATGTTTGTATATTAAATTTCGTCTGTCTCTTAATTGGTTTAGGAGTTATAAGCATTTAAAGACTTTTTCAAGTTGTACGTTTCGGCTTTCATTTGATGAACATTGCATTTTTAACCTATTTAGATTTATTTGAGTTAAATCTTAACTTTCAATATTTTTTAAACTATTTGCGCGTTTAGATCCTGTCACTTTGAGCTAAAATTTTATTTGTATTTCATTATCATAACATATGGTCGGGCGTGGCCGACCATATGATAGCCTACACCAGTTATGAATATTAAATGTGATTTATTTTTCATAATATCGCATTTATCTTCAATATTCCCTTGTTCCGATACATTTAAGCAATTTATGGATGAAAAACTAATTTTCTGAAAGAGGCTTTATATGGGGGCTAGGGGCAAATATAGACCAAGCCCGATAAAATTTTGTGAATATATTTATATTTACATAATATTTTATTGTGCTGAATTTCATCGCGATATTTGTGTTTATAAGTTAATTTGGGACATTCAAGTAATTTTCTGAAGGGGACTTTGTATGGGAGCTAGGGTCAAATGGGGCCCGATCTTTATGAAATTTGGCAGGGTTATCAAGACTTCTATAAAACTTAGTTGTGCCGTATTTTATCGATATATCTGTATATTTAACATAATTATGAGCTCAGAAGCCCTTTTCGGGCGGTTCTGTTCTATGGGGGCTAGGTGAAATAATGGACCGATTTTCAATAGGCTTCGTCCTTGGGTCAAATAAAACGTGCGTGCCAAATTTCATCCAATTATCTTGAAAATTGCGACCTGTAGCTTGCGCACAATCGACTCAGATTCTAAGCCGATTGGTATACTTTAAGGTGGGTCTAGGACGAATATTTTTATATGTTACAAACATCAGCACAAATCCAATATACCCTCCCCACTAAAGTGGTGGAGGGTATAAAAATACATTAAAATTTTACTTAAAGTATTTAAACGCTAGCTGGAATCATTATATTCAAATTAATACTATTGTTTTATACATAAATTATTTTTTGACATGGGTCAGGTCACTTGACACGAATTTGCCCATATAACATATTTAATATTAAAATCAAATATTTTAAAAGCCACATTTATTATTAATTTTCAATTTTATTAATTTTCATATAGCTTTGGATTTAATTATTCTAATTACAGGTACTTTTTTTAGTTATTAACACCAGGTCTTTCTATGACCTTTATATGATACTAATATTCTTAAGTTTTTGAAAGTGTAACTCTTTAATTAGAGTATTGCAGTATTAGTATCAAAAGCAATATCCCGTTTAGGGTCGTTAAGGTGTTTCTATCGTTAGTGACTGTAAATAATTTTAAAAATAATCCATGACTTAGTAATTTCAGACGGTTTAATTCCAAGTTATTTAAAAAATGTTAATGAAAGGTAATGTTTTTATTGATTCAAAACAATAAATAAATAAATAAATAAATTTTTAATTATTTTTTTTTTTTTAGAAAGCAGTAACCCCCTATTAAAATACTTCTAACCGAATTAAAATATAAAAAAGGGATCTGGTAAGTTATATATGTCTTATTTCATCACGCGGTTCCATTAAAAATGTCGATTATTTGAAAATGTAAAAATAGATCTGACCGTTTAAACTTTGGTGGGAAATTTATTGATCATAAGAGAAAAAAGTATGTATATTCAATATTAATTATAACATTATTTTTGTTTATTTCGTTGAAGGATTAATGTGTTCCAAAATATAACTCTTACAATTTGATGGATTGATCATAAAATTTATGAAGAACTACAAAAATATTTTAGAGTCCAACATTTTACAATTTTTGGAAGTATACCAGACAACAGTTGGAAGATCAATACAGATTTCCTAAAAATTATCTTATTATAAGGTAATAATTATAAATTTTTGATACATATGTACATTAGACCGACTCACTCTGTATGGAAAGCAAAAACGTGTTTTTGTTACCCCTCTTAAATTTACCTTGCTTTGTTTTATGATGATTCCCAAAATATTTTAAGTCTAGCGATGACCATTCGTGAGCTGGACCAAATTAAAAAAAGATATTTTGGAATTATTTTTTTTTAATTTTTGTTTCTTTTGAAACAAAATATCCAATACAGGGTATTGTTTAAAAGGTATTTAAAAGCCGCGTCCAATGATGTATAAACATAAATAACCGTCTGCTTATAATTGTCATATTCCAAAATATTTAATATTGTTATTATATAATTTTGCAAATTTTGCGCACCACTAGACTTGACTTCAAAAAACCTTTGTTGTTTTTTGAGAAATATTTAAGAAATGCTGTATAATTTAAAAAAATAACTAAAAAGGGACTTTTTTGCAACCGGTTCAGCTCACGAACGGCCATCGATAGACTAGAAATATTTTGGGAACCATTATAAAACATAACAAAAAAATATTGAATTTAACATTAAGAATCGTGTTCCCATACTATATTTTCTTTAAAACCAGCTCACGAATGGACAACACTTAACCGAAAATATTTTGGGTAACATCATATTACATAACAGCGAATATTTTGAGGGGGTAACTCATGCACCATTTTTTGGGAGTCGGTCTAATGTATGTACATATATTACTTTTTAGATTAGTTGTTAAATCAATTATTTTTTCTACTATTTTAATTTCAATTATTTTAATAAAAACTATAAAATTTCATTTTATTTAGATTTATTATTATAGATTTTATCTTGGTGAGTATACAAATAGAAGAAGAGAAAACTCATCTTCTAGAGATACGTCCCTACAAACATTTTCTATTGCGGAAGTTACCCGTGTGAAACTTCCAAACGTGCTAAAAGCTCGCCAGCGATGTTGCGGAAGTATAAGAATTCTTGTCACCAGTCGGGAAGAACTGATGCCGAGCTGGGGAACGTCTAAGAGTAACGTGGAAGATACTTCTGGAAGACCCGCAGAAGAAACTTCTAGATGACTCTTGGAAGTAAGGTATTGCCAAAGACTCTTCTAGATGTAACTAGGAAGTCACTTCTTCAAGTGATTACTTGGTATCATCTAGAAGTGTTCCTATCTTATCTTCTAGAAGATGAATTTTCTCTTCTTCTAGAAGAAGAGTATTCTCGTCTTCTAGAAGATGAGTTTTCTCTTCTTCTAGAAGATGAGTATTCTCGTCTTTCAGAAGATGAGTTTTCTCTTCTTCTATTTGTATAATCACCAAAATAAAATCTATAAAAATAAATCTAAATAAAATGAAATTTTATAGTTTTTATTGAAATAATTAAAATTAAAATAATA